GAGCTCTTGAATCTTCTCTGGGCACTAAAAGTATGCTGCTCTTCCAAATATAAGGTGTTTGTAATAACTGTGTTTCTTACAGCTCAATAATGCAGGTTAAAGTAATGAAAAATCGTGTTTTATGTTTACTTTAAGAAATTGATAAACAAAATTTTATAGCTACCTTATAATTACTACTTAAATTTTATTGAGCTTGTATTATATGCAGGACACTTTAACAGAACAGTATATCCTCTCATTATCCAGAAATGCTATCTGCTGGCCTTTCACTATTTTAGAAAACTATTCTTGTTCTTTAGCTTTGGAAAAGTTAAATTGTCGATATTTGAAAACTCTCAGTGGACTGTATGAGATGATTCAAACCTAGTGCCACAGGTTGATATTTAATGGCATGAGCTTAGTTTTAAGTCTCAAATCTTAAATTCTTGGAGAGTCAGGTATCTAAAAACTGCTAGTTATTAACAAAAAGATGGATGTTTACCATAATCATTTTCTATAGCGTTTTATATAGCAGCTGCCTGTAAAAGAATACTCCGTAAGGCTAAAATAATACATCGATTCATTTAAGCTTATTATCTTCCTCATTTTGGTAACATCCCTGTAAACAGAGTTGATTTGCTATATTTGGAAAAGGTCAGAGAAAGTTTTGCCCGAATAATATAAGGAGTGAATGTGATGGCCTTTAGGTTTTTTAGGACATTTTCCTGACTTCATGAATTCTCACATCAATGCATTTTATTTTCTGCGCCAAATTATCACAGACGCATCCACTGCTATTCACCTCACAATATGCCCAAGTTCTAGAAGTTGAAACATTCTTTCTAAACAATACTCTCCTGATAACAGGAGAAATAGAGAAAAATATTCCCGAATATTGGTTCTCCTATTTGCAAATTGTCAAATAATGTCCTCTCGATTCCAACGGCCTTTTAGCCTTCATGATTCCTTTCATTAGATAATGGTGCCTATGTTACACAGCCCATTTCTTTTTTTTTGTCAGCATCAAGAGGCTGATAGTTCATTTCTCTGCAAAACTGCAGTGCCCATTCTTAATTTTTGTTTTGAGAAATAACTGTTGTACCCTCTTTATTATCACCAAGATTAATAATATTTCTTTATTTTATTGCTCCTCTTACATTTGGATCTTTTATTATGAGCTGTCAAAAATTCTTTTGGGAAGTAGTTGGGGTATAAATAATAAATCGATAAGAGAATTCATGATTAAAGACAGGATAGAATCCATTATTCTTCTGTTAACATTTCAGTAGTGAATAAGAAAAGCCTACATGAACAATTAGCACACAATATATTGCTTTATATAATTATACATCCATATATATGCCACCTTGATTTTTAATTCACTGGTAAATTTAGGGGATACTCATTTATGGAGTTAATATTACCGAAAAGAGTTTTTAAGCTGAGGCTTTAATTAGAATGGTAAAATGTTGCTTCAGGGGAGCAATGAGAATGTAACAAGAAAACTGATCAATCGTAGGTAACTCTAATAGCAAACAAGTGGAGAAGACACACAAAACCACTGAAAGTTATAAACACACTCAAGTTGTGAGTCATTCGAACTGGGTATTCAGACACATGCATAAAATACACACAAGTGTGCACAAACACACACCCCTTCCAATATACACACCTGAATATAAAACTAAATAAGCAGACTCCTCTGTTAACAATTTTATTACTCTATTTTAGGCTGGGGCTGAACTTTTGAAGCTGATAGGCAAAATAGTTTCCCATAAAAGATAATTTCATTTGCCAAAATGAAACTACTTTCCATTATTAATGTTGTCATGAAATGGTTTGAAATATGAATCTGTGATCTGGACAGAAAGGGATGCTCCTGTTCACAGCTCCAGGAGGGAGTTCTCTAAACAATTACACCCACGGAGAGCGCTGTACGGTTGTATTTTCATCACCAGCCAGCTGAGCTGTGTGCCTGCTATACTCCCAGTCTCCCCTCCAGTGACAGCCGCATTGACAACATGTTATACTCCACATTGATTTTACAGTTAAGGAGCTGATTGTGATATATAGGGATTTTAAGAATTCAGCTGAGAGGCTGACTTTTGCCTTTTATCATTCCATTAAAATTTTATAACCATCTTTTTCATGTCATTTCATCCATGAATTCTTACTTTAGAAAGTGATAGCTACTGCTGTAAGCATAACTTTTCTCATGTTCAGAGCTTTTTATTGTATTAGCAAACTACCCCAATTATAGTTATTACTCATGTTTTACATAATTGTGGTGACCCTTTCGACCATGCAGTTGCAGGCCAGTTGATTTGTATATAGAATTAGATGATTCGGCTTATCATTTTAAAGCACTAAATTGAAAGAGTGCCAAGAGTCAGGTTTTAACACTTCCCTAGCCAAAGGAGCTAATTAAGCTGCTTTCAGCTTCCTCTCCAGAATCACACAAGTTAAAGGACCCGTCTGCAACAAGAGCAGAGAATCTGCTCAGCCAGAGCGGGAAGCTAATAAAATGTATGCTGGCTTTTAAGGGGGGAAAAAATCATGAAATTGAAATTGAACATCTCTTATTCCCCAAGATAAGAGATCATCTTTAAGAACAGGCTGTGTTCTGTGGGGGTTTGAAGTGCAAGTTCATCTCATTATCATGGATGGTTCACCCATAATGCTATCATCATATTCAGGAGAAATAAAAGCCTTATCCCCCTCATCACAGAGAACAAACTGCATCATTGTTGTTTCTTTTCCCTAAAGAAGCTCACAGTTTGATAGTTCACATATGAAGAATAATTATGCAAGACCCAGATGAAAACCCTAATAAAAAATATTCTGATTTTTAAGTGTATATTCCTCTCTTTGGGGCAGAGAGGGTGAGATAAGGTTAGACATTAAAGACTTGAATCTCCACCATTGATTTTACGAAACCCAATCTCAGGGGATTTGGGATTTTTTTAGATTTCAAAACAACATTGATCTCTTACAAGACTTGTACCTGCTTTTCTCTGGGAAATAGCCAAATCTAGATGACAAGTATAAATAAGAAAGGAGCTATATCCCCATTTTGATATAATAATTGCTACTGCTACTCTATACCAGAGAGCAAAAGTAACAAATATTATAGTGGTTTTAAGAAAGCTTTAAAATGAAAGCTAACAAGAGACTAAAACGGAAAATGTGATCCATATCAACACAGGGAGGGGAGCACTACACACTGGGGTCAGTTGGGGGGAAATAGGGGAGGGACGGTGGGGGGTGGGGAGCTGGGGAGAGATAGCAAGGGGAGAAATGCCAGATGTAGGTGATGGGGAGGAAGGCAGCAAATCACACTGCCACGTGTGTTCCTATGCAACAATTTTGCATGTTCTTCACATGTACCCCAAAACCTACATCTGGCATTTCTCCCCTTGCTATAAAAAAAAAAAAAATGAAACTATAAAAAAAAAAAAGAAAAAAAAAAAAAAGATTGCTGGGGGTTTTTTGTTTGTTTGTTTAGGGATATCCCTTCAAATAGGATACATTACCAAATTGTCAGAAATAGCTTGATTTTTGGGTTAGTACACTATAACATCTTTTGCTTCGAAAAGTAATTATGATTCTACCCTCAGTCCAGTTGGTGACAAATATGTGGATCCTGTTGTGTGAAAGTATGCCCATATAACCAACTATTATTGCAATCACTGGCCCTGCAAAGCAGTGGTTGCATTTAAAATTTCAACCTTTGGTGTAACACTGAATCGCATACACAGGCACACACATAATCAGCAATGTTTTAAACAATTACTAAATCCAAGTATATCTTTTTTAAAGATTTTCAATAAAATCTAATGTTCACAGAAAAATCTCATAAATGTCAAAGTTACTGTGGGCAGAAAAGGGGGATATAGTATTTTCTTGATCTGTTGTAGCAATTTATAGATTTCAGGCTGTGGTTTATAAGAATGCTAAATGTTCTGGAATTACAGCTGTTACTGATCAGTGATTGAGCCAGATTTGTGTTATTGCACCATGTTCTTGCTTGTACCTAGAGAGCAGTAAAGCCTCAATATAATAAAAAGCACCTGCATTTTAAATGAAATTTCAATTGAAAAACTTAACAGCCCTTCAAATTGCAGAATTTAACGCAGCCCAGTAAAGCTTAAATAACACTTTGCCTCCGCAGGCTGAGGGGTTTGCATTCAAGGTGACTTGATTGTGTCGCATGGTGAAATTATTTACAATTAAGGAATTTCTCTGGAGGGCTGCAGAATATTTGCTGTTCCACAACACCTATGCAGGCATATGGTGGGCCTTTTTCAGTATTCATGGAGCCTCCTGAACCTTTATGATAATTGAATCAGTTAGAGTGCTGAGTGGAGCAAGCATAAAACCTGTTAACCTAAAGGTCAGATCTGTGCATTGTTTATTTATCAGTAGGTGAAAGAGCTAAATCGGCAGCTTCTGTCACAGCCACAGTAAAAAATCACCTATAATATTAACAGGGAGTAGATAAATTGCAAAACATGGATTAGAATGATAAACAGAACCGAGTATAATATAGAATATATAATGAGAGATGCCGAAGGATTTTACTGGGCTGTAAAATATGCAAGTTTGTTATGATAGTGTTATTGATTAGAATTAGTTACTGGGGCTCTAGAAAAAAAATACAGTGGAAGCTAGAACTTCAGTAACAACTGCCCTCTTGAATGTTTATTACATTTATTTTTTTTAATCTCCATGATATTTTTAACCATTGGCGTGAATAGAAAGACATGATTCTGACAAAGCTCTCTTAGAGAGGAAAATGACAATTTTAGTTTCCTATTATTCAACAAGTATTTCACATGCATTTATGAGCAAAGCAATCACAGTCCTTGTCTTTATGGCACTTATTTGTTTACTTATTGGCCTTTACCAAGTGTTCATTTTCATACCCTAGTAGCAGAATTGCCACTCATTTTAGCTTTATTTTTGAGGAGATGTGCGACATTTCTAAGAGGTACCACCTTCGGGTTTATTCTACTTTACAGAACCCGGACCGGTAGTTCCTCCAGTTCTTCTAGATGTGAAGTCAAGAATGGTATTGGTCACCTGGCAGCATCCTAGAAAGTGCAATGGGGTTATTACCCATTATAACATTTATCAACATGGCCATCTATACTTGAGAACTCCTGGAAATGTCACTAATTGCACAGTGACACATTTGCACCCATATACTGCCTATAAGTTTCAGGTAGAAGCCTGCACTTCAAAAGGATGTTCCCTTTCGCCAGAGTCTCAGACCGTATGGACACTCCCAGAGGCACCAGAAGGGATTCCAAATCCAGAGCTGTTCTCTGATACTCCAACATCTGTAATTATATCTTGGCAACCCCCTACCCACCCCAATGGCTTGGTGGAGAATTTCACAGTTGAGAGAAGAGTCAAAGGAAAGGAAGAAGTTACTACCCTGGTGACTCTCCCAAGGAGTCATTCCATGAGGTTTATTGATAAGACTTCTGCTCTTAGCCCATGGACAAAGTATGAATATCGGGTACTGATGAGCACTCTTCATGGAGGTACAAACAGCAGTGCTTGGGTAGAAGTTACCACAAGACCCTCACGACCTGCTGGGGTGCAGCCACCTGTGGTGACGGTGCTGGGACCCGATGCAGCCCAGGTAAGATAGTGACTATTTTCTCTCCTTTGCAGACTTAGGAATGTACCCTGGATTGACTGTGTGTTGAACAGAGCCATCTACTGACTAAACAAATGCATTTGTTGTTTTAGGCATTCACTGGAGAAACTGGGTTTTGGCCTTTGGCCCAAACTACCTTAAATTCGACATCAGTTTTTCATTTCTCCCTGTATCCCCTTAATTATATTGTTGAGATGCTGCCATTTGCCTCGCACACCTGAAATACTTTGAATGCCACAATGGGATGCTTAGCTTAACCACCACGTCAGATTTAAATAGATCAGAAAATGAGAAGAGATGGGAAAATACGGAGGAATGAATTAGCATATTGACAAAATTTTCCATTACCAATAGTCTGATATTTTATAATAATCAAAGAATCAAAGTAATGGGGAAAGAAATAAAAAGAGCATATTAACGGACTATCCAGAAAGTGTTCATTTATTCCCCTCATTCTATTGGGAATGAACTCTAGAGGACAGGATAACTACCATTGTTTTGGCTGGCATACAAACTTCATTCAAGGGAAATTAGTGTAACCAAACAGGAGGGAGTTTTGTAGCTTAGAAGCCTCTTTTGTGTAAATACACACATGCTTCCATGGATTCAGTCTTGTACTACTGCCAAAAGCATTGGTACAGTAGTTTGCTCACCGGAGCACAAAACAAAGGACATTTACATAACAGCAAAGTTCATCTGCTGAAATTATTACTTGAATCTATGTTGTGTGTTCTCTCTCCCCGACCTAAAGCAAACACTAGATGATGCTAAACAGTGTAAATTGTTGAAGACATTTAATATAACCTATCAACTAAAAGCTATTTTTTAAAGTCTTTTTCAGTTTTAATATGAAACTGGTCAAAGCAACACACATTTTTGATATAAAATATTAAAAGCATATAGAATTCCATTAATTAAACACTAATGGGAAATTAATTTTAAGCACACAATGTACAAGGTTTATTGTATGAATTGAGCAACGTAAAGAATTGCCCTTGATTCAAAATAAAAACAAAACAAAAAAATCCATGCATAGAGTCAGTAATCATTTCAGAAATGCCTTTTTTTTAAACTTGGGGGAATTTTGTAAAACTTTGGTAGCAGTACCAATCACCCACTATGATGCAATAAAACAAACAGTCTCTTTACAAAGGCAACACTACATAATGGACATTGTTCTGGATTATTTCTAATAAAAATCTCATAACTAGGCATTACTGATTGTGGCCAATCTGAAAAACAGTAAGTATTTTCAGAAGAAGAAGAACTCAGTGCACAATTCTACTTGATTCAGCATATATATACAATAATTAAAACTGTCAAGAACCCAGAACAAGTTGCCTGGCTTTTTCTTCACATTTTTTTTCGCTTTTGTGGTTTTGTAGTATCATCCAGGAATTAAACAATATATATGGCTTGTCAGCTTGGTAGAGAAGTTTAGATTAGCGTGGGTAGAAAGCTGAATATCATAGGCACTCACTTGAGGCCACAAGGCATTAGTAACTGCAAGGCAGGAATCTAAATATCTCTATGAAGGTGCCTGAAATATATGAAAGTTGCATGTTAGTAATATTCTAAAAATTCATACTTTTTATTCTCATAACTAGAAAATAAAAAGGTATCAATAAGGAAAATCAACAGTAATACTCAGCTGAGTCTAGTATTTAATGCTATATGCTACTTAAATAGTATTAAGATACGGTGCTTCAGTGTTATTGGCTCACATGTTCAGAAAGATCTTAAAACTTTACCAAAGTACGTGTTCTCATGTTATAGCTTAGCTGGTAAATAGAGGTATATAACAGCTAAACAATGACTTCTCTTTGTAAAACATGAGACTTAAAAGTCAAAATTGCAAATAGAAAATATTTTATGTGGAATAACAGAAGGATAGTTATTAATGTGTTATTAAGAAATTAATTCAGTTATTTATCATAGAAGGTTGTTCCAAGTATTAGGATGGATGAAGGAAATTGTCAATAATATTAGCAACAGTAACAATAATAATTTCAGATCTATTGACATTTAAGGAACGCCAGTAAATGAGTGCATGTCTTTATAATAGTGCCTCTTTTAGGCAGTGGGGATACAGAAGAGATCAAGATAAAGTCTCTAGCCTCATGATGATTACATTTTAGACAGAATGCAAACAAATAACTGTATAATATGCCTGAAGTGATAAGGACTTGGGAGAGAAGAACAAATTGAGTTTAGAGAAATACAAAATGCCAGCCGATAGCGTGGGAGAAAATAAAAGGAGCAGAGTTGGTATTTCACCTTACTGTTACTCATTTTGTGCAGTGTGTTTTTTTCCTATACAATGAATTATTGAATTTAAGAATTACAGTCCAATAGGGAAGCAAGAGAGACTACACATACTTAGACCAATTAGAAAACAAATTCAATGTAATGTATTAGTAACTACTAAAAGAGGTGATATGACTTGGCATAAATCTGAGCCTTGAGAAGGGTAAATTGGAGACCACAGCATCGTAGATGAAATAATATGTTCAAAATCATATGTGATTACAAGAAAAATACATAATGTCGAAGATTTGTAACATCTGAAAAAGTGAAAGTCGTGCACTTTTATTTGATATTTAATCACCTAAGAAAATTCATTTCATTTCATTAAAAATGCTCTACCAAGACCTAAAGCACAGTTCAATGAAACTGTAGACTAATTTCATATGTGAATACATATTCAAAACTTTTAAATAAAAGATTATCCAATTAAGCAGTATATAAAAAGAATGTTATACCAAGAAAATTGATTTGATTTTTAAAATGTAAGGATGGTTCAACATCAAACAAATCTATCAACATGCTTTTTACATCAACCAACGTAGAAAGCCCATATGTTTGTTTTTTTTTATCAATAGATGCAGAAAAAAGACACATAATTCAGAAGTAATTATTAACAAAAAGTCAAAATAAAATCAGATTAGGAGGAAGGTACTTAAATGGGATAAAGTCAATGTATAAACTGTTGCACTGAAGCTTTGCATTGAAGATTGATAAGAAATAATATGTATAAATAAGCTGCATGACTGCGATGCAGCAAAAAAGCAAACTTCTTTTATGATACTGTCATGAACCTTTACACGCTTATGCCCTGTCCACTTTTTCACAGGTAAAGTGGAATAAAAGAGAGTAACCTTGCAGCTTTCAGCTCCTTTTATGTAGTAGGGTCCTCACTCAGCTCAGACAGCTGAAGCCACCAGCCCTGGCAGGTGCACCACAAAGAGCAGTGTCACCCAGAACACAACCATAGGTAGCTTCCCTCCCTTTCTATGTACACTTAGAGTCACTCATTTATGGGTTTGATAAGAATCAGAGTAAAAGGAGTTGAGTCCTAATCATCATCCTCATTGACTTTTAAAGATGGGCCAATGTTTGATGTCTGCTTAAAATAAACCACAGACAATAGTATAAATATTTTACAGAAGGAAATAAAATGATAAATTCATTGAGTTAATATTATGTTCTAGAAATTGCTTTCATTTAATTCTTTCTACAACTGTGTCAGATAGATGCTATTTTATTCTCATTTGACGACAGGAAAACTGAGAATGAAGGACTGAGTAAGCTGCATGAGATTACTTAAAGAGTAAGAGTTGGAATTCACACCCAGGCAATAGGGTTCTAGAGCCAATGCACTCCTCTACTTCTTTACACTGCAATGAATGGAAAACGTGTAATCTTCCTGGATAGAAGGACTTAATTCCAAAACAAGGCAATCCTTTCAAAGTCAACATATAAACTGAACATAATTCAAATCAGAATGTCAATGTTTTCTTGTTTATTTTATTTCAAATTGGATGAAACTGATTATATAAAAAAACTGATTTTTTTTAAATTTCACTTTAAGTTCTGGGATACGTGTACAGAATGTGCAGATTTGTTACATAGGTATACCTGTGCCATGCTGGTTTGCTGCACCTGTCAACCCCTCTTCTAGGTTTTAAGCCCTGCATGCATTAGGTACTTGCCCTAATGCTCTCCCTGCCCTTACCCCACGCCCCTGGACAGGCCCCAGTGTGTGATGTTCCCCTCCCTGTGTCCATGTGTTCTCATTGTTCAACTCCCACTTATGAGTGAGAACATGCAGTATTTGGTTTTGTATTCCTGTGTTAGTTTGCTGAATGATGGCTTCATGGATGAAGCTGGATAAAATGATCTTAAAGTATAGATGACTAAACAGTTGAAAATATTCTAGAAAATTGTGGAAGAATAGTGAGGTAGTACTCTCTTGCATATGTAAACTTACTCTAAAGCCACTGAATTATAACAATATGGTGTTGGCGTAAAGAAAGACAAATGGTCATTGGAACCAACTAGAGAGTTTAGATATAGATACGATTTTTTGTTGAAATGGCTTATTGTAGGTAGAAGTTGCATTTTATTTCATTGGTGAAGAATGATTTGCTTTAAAATGATACCAGCCCAACCGACTATCCATGTGTAAGGAAAAACATAGGTCCCTTCATCGTATCATATGATAACTAAATTCCCATAAATTAAAAATGTTAATGTTAAAAAAGTAAAAATCTTAGAAAAAAACAAAAGAAGAATTTTGTGTAATCTAAATGTACGGTACTTTTTAAAGAAAAAAAGACATTCAGTGGCTTTTAAAAAACGTTATATGTAGCTAGAAAATAATCTGATAGATTTTCCAAGGCATAAACTGGAGCTCCCACCAAAAAAAAAAACTTAACGTACAAAAGATAGATTGGGAAAGTACATGTGTAACACATATTACAGACAAATCAATTTTACCTAAATATACATAGACCTTCTAATAATTTATTATAAAAGATACTTTAATAGAAAATAATTTAGGTAAGAGGATGTATTAGGTTGGTGCAAAAGTAATTGCAGTTTTTACCATTAAAAATAATGACAAAGACCACAGTTAATTTTGCATTCATACCTCACATAAAGTCAAAGGAATGAAAATTAATTAAATAAGTAATATTGGCAAAAAAATTAAAGTAGTAACTTCAAGAGTTTGTGGAGACACAAATCATGAATAATTTCATTGTTTGTGGTAAAGTGAATTTCCTCAATTTTTTAAGGAAATGATGTATCAATAATAATTAAAATTAAACATGCATTTTCCTTTTGGCATGATAATCCTTGGTAATCTTTCCAATATAAAATAAACACAACAGTATATATTGCATAAATTTTCAAATATTATTTTTAGCCGTAAAATAATGTCAGTAGAATTAACAATCAGTTTGTTTTCAACCATGAAAGAAATATTATGCAACAGTAAAAAATAATAGGATGTGTCCATAATAAATTAAGCCTGAAAAGCAAGTTGCAGGATAAGGGGTATAGAACTTTTTTTATGTGAAAAGTTTTTTAAAAATAAAAAAGAGAGTGAGAGACCTAGCATATGTATGAGTATATTTGCTTTGCTTGTATGAGCATACAAAAAGTATGGAAGAATAAACTTCAAGCTATTACCTTTCCACCTGAACAAAATAAAACAGAGAGGGGGAGGGAAGAAGTGAAGGCCACAATTAATGTTTCTTTAATATATATTTGTACACTTTCTCTGATTGAAAAATGCAAATATAATATTTGAAATGAAAAATTAAGATTAATATTTTTTAAAAGAAGACGTTTTGAAAAACAACTTTATTTTTATTTTTATTTCAACAAATATTTATTGCACATCTTATTCCGTATAAATTTTTCAGAGGAGTCCCTCACAAGAGGAATTGCTGCACTGTATAGAGTCAAATATTTCCACATGATATTTCTTTATGACACATTTGTATCTTCTATTGACAAAATACTCTTAGAATTATGCAATCCTATGTCTACACATGATGGCAAAAATTGTCTCTTCATATCAAACATATGGGTTCCAAGGCCTGGAGATGTTAAATATTTTGCCTAAAGTTGTACAGCTTTGAGACATTTATCATCTCTTAGTCCATTGTTAACCCATATATTAATATTTATAAATGCTCTCATTCACAAAGCTCTTAAAAGTAGTTTGATGGAGTTAAAGAAGTAAGAAAGTTGCATACTATGCTTTTGGGTGTTACTGTTTTCAAGCCTGAAGCCAATCAACTAACCCGCATGTCCAAGCTTCTGTTTAAAATGGGGAAATTCAAAGGTGCCATGAGGTTTTAAGAGAGACTTGTCAGGGATGCAAAAGAGTTGCTAAAAGTCAATGGTTTCTTAAACACTTAACCAGCAATTTACCTGTCATATTTTCTGAAGACCTATAATAAATAAACGGAAAAATGGAAATTAAATCATTAAGAACCACTCAAATAAAAGAAGTCATTATGATAGGAAAGCCATCTCCGAAGTAAAGATTTTATTTCCACTGAGAAACTATAATTCTATTTAAAAGTTTTAATATAATATTATTGTTTTAGAGAACACATTTCTTGCTGATTCAGGCCAATAACCTGCTCTTTTGTCTGAAATTTTGGGAATGCAACAATATTTCATAATCTTTCTTATGTACAAAGGATATATAAAAGGTCATGGGAAATTAAATGAACTAAAAATTTTAATCTCATATATTTTGACCACACACATAATAATAAATGTGGTCTTAAGTATAGAAAAGAATAGAATACAATATTTAGTTAACTGGTTCCTTAAAAATCTTGGACATAATCTGGGCATGGTGGCTCATGCCTGTAATCCCAGCATTTTGGGAGGCCGAGGCGGGTGGATCACCTGATGTCAGGAGTTTGAGACCAGCCTGGCCAACAGGGCAAAACCCATCTCTACTAAAAATACAAAAATTAGCCAGGAGTGGTGGTGCCCACCTGTATTCCCAGCTACTTGGGAGGCTGAGGCAGGAGAATTGCTTGAACCCAGGAGACGGAGGTTGCAGTGAGCCGAGATTGTACCACTGCACTCCAGCCTGAGTAACAAAGCTAGACTCCATCTAAAAAGAAAAAAACAAAAACAAACTTGGACTAACTGATTAATTGATTGATTGATTTAGATGGAGTTTCACTCTTGTTACCCAGGCTGCAGTGCAATGGTGCGATCTCTGCTCACTGCAGCCTCCATTTCCCTAATTCAAGTGATTCCACTGCCTCAGCCTCCTGGGTAGCTGGGATTACAGGTGCCTGCCACGACACCGAGCTAGTTTTTGGTATTTTTAGTAGAGACGGGGTTTTGCCCTGTTGGCCAAGCAGGCCTCAAACTCCTAGCCTTAGGTGATCCGCCAGTCTCAGCCCTCCAAAATGCTGGGATTACAGGCAACAGCCACCACACTTGGCAGACACATACATTTTTAATAATGGCTCCAGGATATTTTCAGGAGGGTGATCAAATTACATACCATTTCTGTTGGCCTACTGACTGTAATGACAATTTCCGTCTCAACATTGTTACAAGAGGTTGTTTTATATAGTTCTAGACATTTTCTGTAGAAATATTCATTTCTTCTAACTCACTGCTGTCAAAAAGATACATTTTCTAAGTTTGTAACTTTTTAAAAAATAAAAAATAGTTTCCAGATGGAAACATTTATAGTAGAAAAATAGGGGTTTTTTAGATCCTGAAATGTCTACCTGCAGAGTCACTATGCCAAATCTCTTAATCTCTGCTGGTAGATATCTTATTCAACTTTTAGCTTATGAATGCTCTTTCTCAGCCTCAATACCAAGTTCCAAATCAATTCCCTGTTAGCTCAACTACTAACACAGACTATCTCCTAAGTATTAATTCTTTAAAGTGTTGCCAAGCTCTGACCTGAACTCTCAAAGCATTCTGGTCTAAGAGGCAAGAAAGCCATATTCTTCAGATTAGTCAGGTTGAATTTAGCTGTGATAGTTCTTCCTTATTTCATTTATGTTACAAATACCCAGAAGCCCTCTGAGTTGACATTGACTCATTTTTCAGGTCCACAGAGAGCATTGCACCTCCACAACAAATAGAGCCCTTTGTCTGTTCTACAACCTTTGCTTGTTTTGGATGTTTTAAAAAACATTCTCCATATCCAGACAAATCCCCTGTGTTCATAAGGAACACATCTAAAGCATCCCTTCATCCCAGCCTCTCTTCTTAGAACTCTCCAAAAAGCTTTTTTAAGATTAATGATGATTTCATCCCATGTGGTATAATTTGGTAGATACTGGCCCATTGTTAATTATAAATTACCAAAGTAATTATCAAGCAATTGCCCAACTAACATACAGTGGCAGCCCTTTTTATCACCAACTATTAGTAAGAATACTCTAAAGAAAGTCTCAGGTCATAGTTCTCCTGGACGAAACCTTTTCTCCTTGATTTAAAATAGAAAACTATGGTCAGTATTTCTACATCTTAATTTCTATATTACTCCTCTTTGTTTTGCATGGAGTTACAAATGTACATGTAAATATGTCACCTTGTAGAAAACTGTCTCATGGTTTCAAAATAACTAGAGAAAAAATATCATCTAACAAACCATGACTACAATTACTAACTAAACTTCACTTCTGTGCACATGGTACTAAGTGAATTTATCCCTGTTATGAAGAAGCTTACAGACTATTTGGGACATGAGATATATATCCTGATATTAAGGAGCATTAGAAGGTACCAGTAAAAGAGGAAACTGGATAACATATAAATAAGTGATTTTTGTCACGGCCTGTGCACATTTTTTAGGATCTCTTTTCCCATAAGAACATGAATGTGTTACCACTATCCTCCTGTTCAGTTTTGCCAGAAAAGAAAACAAACTTCAGACATTCTAGAATTCTATCACAAAATGTTGTTCTTTCTTCTGATGCTCAAGTCCACGTGTTAGCTAAGCACAAACATCTTTGGCTTCCCTTTTCAAAACTTTCTACACGTTTCTTATCTCTGAGAAGAGGCTGTGTTGTTAATGCTTTACTTGATAAGTTATATATAAGTAAGATTCAGAAACTCAATTTTGCATCTTCAGAAAATATGAATAATGATGTATCTTTCCCTTCCTCTGAGAAAAAGTGACTTGTTTAGCCGGCACACTAACAATGCAAAGAAATGAGTTCTGAGGCTTCATTTAATTGAGTTATAAAGAAGAAAATTATCAAATCCTATGCTACCCTGTTGAAGTATGTGGATGTGTGAATATTCTCCATGTGTTTGCTCTGTGTCCTTCAGAACACCCACAGTGATGATGAATCACTAAGGTGTGTATTAGTCTGACAATCCCAGAAAGTAGCAAGACTGAAAGCCAAACCCAAGAAACAGCATTTCATTTAGCTCCTGGTGTACTGCTAATTGATCTTAAACCCTTCAGTACTGCCTAGTGCAAAGCACTAAGGAGAATGTAGGCATTTAGAAAATGACTTCACTGAAAACAAGAGCAAATTCTAGGCCTTGTGAACTTCAGTTGCTCTATTCCTGTATCATCACACTGATTCTAACTTTATCTTTTATTTCAGGTCACTTGGAAACCCCCACTAATCCAGAACGGAGACATACTTAGTTATGAGATTCGCATGCCTGACCCTCACATCACGATAACCAATGTGAATTCCACAGTATTAAGTCAAAAAGTTACTCATTTGATTCCTTTCACTAATTATTCTGTCACCATTGTTGCTTGCTCAGGGGGTAATGGGTACCTTGGAGGGTGCACAGAGAGTTTACCTACCTATGTTACCACCCACCCCACCATACCTCAGAATGTTGGCCCATTGTCAGTGATTCCAGTAAGTGAATCATATGTTGTGATTTCTTGGCAACCACCATCCAAGCCAAATGGACCGAATTTGAGGTAAGAGAGGGTGACTATGATTTTGTATTTTGCTAGGGTCCTTATCTCTCCAAGAAGTAGGGAAGAAGGCTTTTTATTCACATATGAACATAGGATTCATTTGGCATTGAATATCCCCTGATTCATAACTTTCATACACTTCAACTTATGAAAACATCAAAGTTCATCAAAATAGAAAATTAGTCATCATATTTGAGGAACCAAAAACTCTTGAAACCACAATTACTATTTTCTAAGGATTCCCTGCATAATCCATCACTTGATTTTCAACATATACATTCATTATATGTTAGGCAAACCTGATGTTTTATATGATGTAGAACCTGTATGTTCTATATGATACATTTGCACTAATGTGCCTCAGAATTCTAAAGCTAACACAGTAGTTCTTTGGCACATTATTAATATATGAAAACTTGTGAGTATATGGAAACTGTGGTCAGGGATATAGATAAGATGAAAGGAAAGAGCTGTGATTCAGAAATGGTTTTGCAACAATTCAAACTTGTTACTTGGCCAAGAATACAAAACTGATAATATTGTCGTTGTTTATAAAGTACGGATAACAGTAGAAAACCATTAACTTGATAAGCTTTTTGTATTTCTACTTTGTGTGAAACTAGCAATAAAGATTTGGCAAATCTAACACAGAGGAAATCTAAAATGCTATTATTCTTGCAGATAATAGTAAAATATGAATGTAGCTGATTTTTCAAAATATTAAATATATGGAATTTGATCCAGAAAAAAATGTTCATCTGAAAAAAACCTCATAACTATAAACTTAAGATGTTATTCTTTATGTTTGCACACATATATCACACGCACATGCCACGAAACAGCCTGAATTTTGGTAATCTCAACATTAGCTGAGATAATCCTGATGTTCTTGCATGTCTTTTGCTTTAGATATGAGCTTCTGAGACGTAAAATCCAGCAACCACTTGCATCAAATCCCCCAGAAGATTTAAATCGGTGGCACAATATTTATTCAGGAACTCAGTGGTTTTATGAAGATAAGGGTCTTAGCAGGTGAGATTACAAAAACTATAAAAACAAATGCTGGCATTTAGTTCTGGGCATGTTGAATAGTTCAGAGTATCTTAGTGTCTTCATTGTGTGAGCATGTTATCAGTTATGCAATAAAACATGTTTGTTTATTATCTGTGGCATTAATCATTGAACTGTAACAGTCAGCATGTTTAATGTTTTCCATCTTAACTGCATGCTTAAAATAAGCCATTTGAAGTTGAACTTGTAGATGTTCAAGCCTTAACCTATTGCCTTTGTCACAGCTCTATCTAGACATTAAACTAAATGGAAGAATTTGGAAATATTGAACGCATACAAAACGGGTAAAATTCCTGGGGACTTGTAGAACGTTTGCTATTTCTAGAAAATGACTTATAAATGAATTATAATGACTTATAATTGATTCTAAGTCATCGATTCAGTCCACAAAAAAACATATTTAGTAAACTGGATTGGGGCTTGAAAGAATTCAATCTAGAGTTCAAAGACATTAAGTAAGGACTAATGGGTGATGCTAGAAAAGAGTGATACATGGGAGGGTTAGGAGATCTGGGCTCTGCTCTATCTTGTGCTAGAGAACTAACTTTGTTATAGGCCACAAAGCTTAATTTCTTAATAATCACTTAACTTCCCTGGGCTTTATTTTTGTTGTCTATAAAATGAGATGATTTTATAGAATTAAATGACTTCTAAATCTTCATGAGTTCAAACAATGTGATTAAATTTCAAAAAACATGAATGTTATTTTATGAAAACTCAACAATCATATTTTTCAGTAACTTTTCTATCTAGGTCCTTATTCTTCTAGACCCACCACTGGGTAGCTGTAGTCTCAACCCTGTTTACCACTCTAGCCTTGCCTCCCCTTTCTTACCAAGGCCTCTGCATTCCAGCAACATTTGCATTGCATTCAGTACCTCCAACATAGGATACTTGCTCATTCAGCTTTTCCTCATAGTTGCCTTTTCCCATTGCCTGACTAGATCATCTGTCACATCTTAGCCTAGAGATTTCTTCCTCTAGGAAGCCTTTTCTGCTCACGCTCTTGCTGGTCTGATTCAGCTCCTCTGTAATATTTCCATAGGACATCCCCTAACATATCACTATTATCATTGTAGTGTACTGGCCTGACTGCCTATCTGGACACCACGTTATATTACCAGATCTACCATAAGGCAGGGGTGGTATCTTCGTGACTCCGTCTTCAGTTCCTAGCATAGTTCCTGGCACATAGCAGCACATAGTGCCCTGCTCCTGAATACTCCAGTGAATAATAGATTAATTCAGTCAAGAATTAGTTCACTTCTCTGTGCCTTAGGAATATTGGCTATAGTGTTCTTCTCTCAGGAGGATGAACAAAACTAAGGAAAATTATCTCGTCCTCTTAAAAAGTTGTGGTGGGAAAACATCCTAGTTCTTGTAAGATTCTCGGAGACAGACAGCACATAAATCTAATCAAGCAACAAAATGAACTACATGAAACTACCACTTTTATAGGTGGAGATTGGTCAATTATTAGCAGATCCATGTTGCTCATCCTAAATTATCATGGTCATTATACTGTTCTCAACTACTTTGGATTCGTTACTTACTTAATTTGGCATCCCTATACGATTGATTATCACTTCAGTAGAAGAAATTTATTTATTTAGCTTATTTTTGCTTACTGTGTGCTGAGGCACTGTGGTAAGGAACAAAAGATAAATGCATCTTAGCCCTTGCCCTCAAAGAACTCACAATCTAGAGGAGGAACCCTTCCCCTGTCCCTCCATATAGAGTGTGTTGTATGTATTAATTGCTATCATCAGAATTATCTACAAAGTCACCAATTCTGCCTAAAACAGTCATTTCAAATAGTAGCTTTCTATGATCTGGGAACTCTAAGTGTTTAAATATAACGATTTCAAAAAATACATAGAATCTGACTATTTAACATTACTGAATCTGAGTTTTAGCCATGAGATACTCAGCAAAAACACAGAGTAAGTACCCAAAAGTTAATTTTGTTTCTTTACACAAGAAATGAAAACATTAAATAATTGGGACCAAGGCCATAAACTTAGTTTTGAATTTTTATTGATTCCTCTAAAGATTCTTAATGAGAAGTTCAAATCTAAGGTTTCAGGAAAGAAATAAAGTGAATTTCTACAACTTAAATTGAAACATGAATTGACATAAACACACCCATGACAGCTGCTCCCAGAAGGGAAGGGTGCAGATAACAAAACTGTGTTGGGGGGATATTTTGACTAGTTTCATAAGCCAAATGCCATTTTCTTTCTGGTAGGACTTGCGAAGATTTTTTACTTATTCAAATAACAGCTACAACTTATATACAACTTGTAGAAAAAAAAAAAAAGCATTTCTTCTTAGCATTCAGAATAAATGGGATGAGTCTACGAGAATCTCTCTTTCTATCCTTTATAAGTCCAAAAAAGCTAGGAGTGCCTTTAGCCCAAGGGGGAGTGTCTTGTGTCTCCCAAACATGAGAGAAAACCAAAATTTGGTCCCCTGGTGGGGGCCATGTTTTTTTGTTTAAAGGAAGTGATCTTGTTTGATCAGATGGTGCCACTGGCCACCTTGGCAATAGCTGGGGCTCCTGGTTCCTGCTGGCCAGCTAGTGGTCTCTCAAATTGCAGAGGGGGACAAAGCTGAGTATTCATCATGTGTTGCTGTGCACCTGTGTTACGGTCCCTCCGTACCCCTTCCTTTGGCCTGTATTTGTTTTGTTGATTTATTTGTTTGGCCAGGTATGTTTTCTTGGGTTTTTAATTGAATTCTAATAACTTTGGGAGGATTATGTAATGTCCTATTCTCCCCAGAGTCTACCATCCCAATTTCCTTCTTAACGTAACATCTGCATAAATAAAGAGAGCACTGAAGTGTTTCTTACCATCTTGACTTGAATATCACCATAGCTACATTTAGAATCAGCTTTTAAATGGCACTTCTCTTGATATAAAGAGTAAAATTAAGATTCACTAGACATCTCTTTATGAATATATTTGTGACAGTAAATATAAGTTGAAGCCAATTTCCTAGTTTAAGTGGTCTATTTTGGCTAATATGTATTTATAATGTACAGAAAAGCACCAATTTAATTTAAAATATCATTATATTTAGAAATTTAGATCACTCTAGTAGTTAATTTTTCTTTATCTCCATGTACAAAGCAGTCTCAAGCCAATTATCCAGATAATTTAATTCTAACAAAAAATACTTTTTGCTCTTATGATTACATTACATAAGGAGTAATTTTTATTTAAATTGCACAGCTAGTTACCTCATTATTGAATTTTGCTCTGTCTGTGTAGACACGAACTCCATATCACTACAGGTTTATACTACTTGTCAGTTTCTAACTTTTCTTCCTTAATAATTCTGTGCAAAGTGGCCAAGTTATGGTTGTTGGGGGAACTATAACTTTGGGTTTCCTGACATTTTCATCACTTGGAAAAACTGGTGAACGTGCTGTTATCATCTGAAGCTGCCGATGTGAGTCAGGCAGGGTTTAACAAGAGGGCGATGACCTCCTTCATTTTAAGCATCAATCTACCCTCACAATTTTCAGCACCTAACAACACTGCCTTGGTTCATAAGTGGTCAGATAAAACTGCTAAGAATATAATGCAGCATGTTCTTCTTTTCACTGTGGATTTAAAGAAGGAAGAACAAGATATAAGAAAGAAGAGGGTTATTTTACTATTACAGAGAAAACATTGCCTTGCAGATTATAATTGAGATTTATAAATTTGCTTTAAGTTTATGAATGGAGGTATGTTCTAATTGCTCTTCCTTTTAATTATTTATAAATTTCTCAGAGTGTTTTTTTTTTTTCCAATGACAGTTTGGATGGAGACCTCTGTGATTCCTCGAGAATCCCCTAATTGTAGTACATTTAAATTAAAACATTCAGAATTAACACATTTTTGTTTTAGTTTTCAAAGAAGGAAGGATAAGACTTGTTTAAGATTTAAATACTTAAGCTAAATTATCATAAATTCTAAGTTTAAATCTTATTGACATATATTTTCGTATATATTTTTAAATCTACTAAAATAAAGATGTGTCAAGTCCTAAAAGAGGATGCCATTTCTGTGAGGTATCATATTCAAAAGAATATAACTTTTTATATTTATATTCCTCCTCCTTTGTAATGAGATTAAATGTGTATCAATGACATCTTCATCTTTGCTAGTATGGAAGACTGGCTCAGTTCCATGTCACATGTTTCTATAACATAAATAATTTCAGGTTGTAACTATTAAGTAAAGAAGTTAACTTTGTACATAGAAAGGCAAGTGAAAGGAAGGCTTCTCCCATGACTACCTAGATGAGGTAGCTCCTGTTAGTTTCTTCCTTAACATGTGAATGTGAATAAAAATAGTAATGAAAGCCAACTTCTGTCAACACTGGTATGCCATCTCATAGCCATGTACTTAATTCAAAATGAGTAAAAATGTATTTCACATTCAAATTAAATTGGCCACAGTGCTTTCCCCATTGGATTTTTTTCAATGCTTTACATTTCCCTGATGCTGTTCTTTTCTGTGTCATCATATTAAGTATTAGCCCATTGTATTAGCTCATTTTGCTTGCTGTAAAGGAACACCTCAAACTGGATAATGTATAAAGAAAAATTTACTTGGCCCACATTTCTGCAGGCTGTACAAGAAGCTTGGTGCCAGCATCTTCCTCTGGTGAAGGCTTCAGGGAGCTTTTACCCATGGTGGAAGGTGAAGAGGGAGCAGGCATGTCACATGGCAAGAGAGAGATCACGAGGGCAATGGAAGGAGTGCCATGCTCTTAAACAACCAGCCCTCGCCCGAGCTAATAGTGTGAGAACTCACTCATTACCACAGGATGACACCAAGCCATTCATAAGTGATTCACCCCCATGACCCAAATACCTCCCACTAGGGCCAACATCCAACATTGGTGATCACATTTCAACATGAGTTTGGAGGGGACAAATATCAAAACTCTATCACTGATGAAAAATGAGCTTCTAAATCCAGAAGGATGTGTTTTGTTATAGGAGGGTTTTACCCCTATTGTTTTCTTAGAAAAAAAAAAAAAAAAAAAACTACTTTTATTGTCTCTCTTTCTTTCTCATGTTGATGACAAAGTAGAACAAAGATTGAAATTATAGCAAAATTACCTTAGGTCTGACAGTTCTGGTAGTGTAAGTACAGATAGCTACAGAAACACAACAGCCTCAACTTTCACTCACAATCTAAAATGTCTCATATTACAAAAATATTCAAGCATGTTAAACATTACTTTACAATTTTCGAAGCAAAAATCTTCAATACCATTTTTAGAATCAACAAGTAGATTTTTTTTTAAGTGCCTACCATCAACTGAAAACTTTAATAGCCTTAGACTTAAGTAATAGAAACAGTATTGCATTTTTCTTTGTTTGCTGTTCTCACAAAAGATTTGAAGATGGAAGGAGCAGTATGCTTCATCTGATGTGTGTTCAAAGAAAAAGGAATAAATGAATAAATATTTTAGATGTTCTCATTTAAAAATATATTTCTGTAAAATTTTTTATACCCTGTGGCTCCAGGTGGACAGATAACAATTTTATTATTTTTAACATCTGGCATATTGGTAACAGCCAATAAATATTAAATGAATGAACAAATGAATGAAAGAAGTGATGTATTATATATGAAAAAGTGATATAATTTGTTTTCAATATATTTTTAAAAGGAGCACTTTGCTAAGTTTCAGCAGAGATATTTTTTCTATTGGACAGGTGATTTTTATCCCACTAACCTAACAAATTATATAAGTGACCTGAAACTTTTGAGACTGAATGCTTAAATAACTGTGAAGCACCTATTCATTCATTTATAAAATTATCTATTCTATAAATAAACAAATTAAAACTACATCATTTAAACATAATCTAGTTTTTTAATTCATTGGAGTAATAACAACTGAACCTTGAAATGAATATTGTTCCACAAGTAAGATTTTAACACACATTATTTTTTATGAGTGAAAATACCATAGTCATGTCTATACCATAACAAAGTTTACCATCTGCTGTTTGGGGAGTGGGGGAGGGAGAGACCGGAGGATGGTCTCAAGCAAATGAGTCATTCAGAGAAAAACTATTGTAATAGCCCAAGTATTCCTAAATGGACCTACAAACAATTGGTCTTACTGGCTACATCATAGATGCAAAATAAGTATTCACTTACTTGGACTACTTACATTGCAAAAGCTGTTTCCTACAGAGTTTGAAATGGACACTTTTCAAGTCATGCCTAGAGAACACAATTTGTATTTAGAGAAGAAATTGATTGATAGACATAAGTTTTGTCATGAGTATATGTTAATTGATCTAGCACTGTTGTTTTCAAATGTATTATTTTATCATTTATTAAATGAAATGTCCCATTTGATATCAACAATCTATATGTAAGTCCATTTGAAAACAATATACATAGAGTGAGTGGAAAACCACTTCAAGCCAATTAATACATTCTTTTTTTGGTATGAAGTGGTGAAATATGAATCAACATATATACATAGAAAAGCCATAGGTGTATATTCTTACTAAACACAGAGTGGAATTCAGATGAAATGAAAACAGTACATTTCAGTATTTAAGAGAATTCAAGATCTTGTTTCCTTAGAAATTTAACTTAACAACGAAAGTTAAAGAAAGTACAAAAGACAAATGAACAGCATCAAATGAAATATCTACTGATTTCTCAATTAAATTTTTAAAAAGTAGAAATAATGTCATATTGGAAATGAAGAAACTAGATGCCCAGCTAGCCCTATTAACTAGTTGTGCAAACTTACGCAAATCCACTTGATTTCTCAAGGTCTCTGGGTTTATTTGTTTATAAGATGTAGCAGACACTTTATTACTTGAAGCAGGTAAACTCAAAAGCCATCTCTTACTCTAAAATGTTAGAACCGCCTTGAAAACAGGCATCACAATTGTATGTATCTATGTGGCCTGAGTTTTGTAGTTGTAAATTGTATATTTCACCATACCTAAATTATGGTGAAACCCCTTAAAGTATTATAAGAACTAAACCCCTATAGTATTTACTTGTAATCAACTCTTTTAGTGCCACCTGATCTTGTTAATTTCACATGTAGAAAAGAACCACAAATGTGGTACCACTCGAAACCCATAAAGATTATTAATTGTGTAATAGCATAGACATGTGGAAGAAAAAATTACATATTATAGAAGGGGAGATTAGATAACCAGACTGTAGCTACATTTCTTTTAAGCCATTTTATGAAGTAAAATATAATTAAAGTATTTTACCCAGGGAGAGAGCTAATGAAGCCAAGGTCGCTGGTTCAATTCCCTTGTGAGCCATTAGCTTCATTTCATTCCATTGTCATAGGCTTGCTACCCTCTTAACCCCGACTCACCATCCTTCATATTCATACAATTGGTTGCAAAGGAAATTTGGCCAGACTGTTTGGATGTGTAAGCAAAAATCTGTCCCCTCTGCTAGAAAAATAATGCAAGGTCAAGCCCTAGTGATATGACATCATCCACGTATGGACAGACCAGATTATCATTATGATTGTTATTATTACTATTATTATTATCATTATTATGTTGGCAGTATAGCATCACGGTTAAAAGAGCAAGCTCTGGAATCAGACTGCCTATATTTGCATCCCAATCCTCCTACTTACTATCTCAATGACCTGAACAAGTTATTTATCTCTTTGAGCCTTGTTTTTCTCATTTTCAAAATAGGTATTGTAATAGCAGCTTATAGAGTTTTGTGAGGAATGAATGGGTTAACATCTGTTGAAAATGCCTGAGAGCTATTAAGTAACTATCATTATTTTTAAGTTCTCTGGATCATATGGACTATTTAGCACTTGCTAAAAAGCATATGTATTTATTTTCCAGGGCTGTAATAACAAAGCACCACATACTGGGTGGCTTAAACCAACAGAAATTTATTCTCTCACAGGTCTGGATATTAGAATTGCAAACCAAATTGTCTTCTTGGCCAGACTCTTTCCCAAAGCTCTATAGAAGAACCCATATTTTGCCTGTTCTAACTTCTGGTAGCCCTAGGCGTTCCTTGGCTTGCGACAGCATAACTCCAATTTCTGTTTCTGTTTTTACGTGGCCATGATCTCCCTGTGTGTATATATGTGTCTATAAAACTTCCCTCTCTTTTTTCTTCCAAAGACATCAGCATCAAATTGCTGGTCCTCCCTAATCCAGTATGACCTCATCTTAACTTGATTACATCTACAAAGACCCAATCTCCCAATAAGGTCACATTCACAGGGACCAGGGGTTTGGGCCTCAAAATATCTTTTTGAAGGCTACAATTCAACCCATTACAGCAGACAAAGAAGAAGAAAAAAAGAGACAATAAATCCTGAGAAGAGAGAGTAAAGCAGGGAGATATAGAAGATCTAATATGAGCACTTTTTTAAAAGAAATAGATAAACTCAAAAAATCACAAGTTTTACCTGTAGGTACAATAGAGCAACACCCTTCAATGTGGCTCATGCTGAAGCCTGCATATCTGTGGGCTGTGAAGAAGAAACAGGATAAGTCAAGCAGATTGCTTCTACCTAGGTGGTAGCAATATGCTCTGAGGATCCTGATACAATTTTGGTCAAATAATTTAGCACAATCCTGCAAATGGCACCTACCTACCCCTGCCCTACCACCTTTGCATCATCACAGCAGAGATTGTGACATATTGAGACAAATACTATGGTCCTTGAATGGGAGGTGAGGTATCCTTGATCATCTAATAAATCCAAATTAGGTAATGATCTGAGGCCAGTGTTTGCCCTGTGTCCTGGATGCCTCTGGGTTGGTCCTTTGTTACACAACATGTTTAAGCAAGTATCTTGATCTATTGTCCAGCCGTAGCCTGTATCTGTGAAAAGCATTTTCTTACACAGGCAGTTTCTGAACCAAACAAAGGAACCTGATGGTCTTCTGCCCAAAAGTGGTAAAAAAAAAAAAAAAAAAAAAAAAAGGTGACTTTATTGTCAATTTAATATATGACTTGAAAAGTCCTCCTCATCTCACATCATCTTGTCAGCTTTTGCCTTCTGCAAAGTAATATTCAGTTTCCAGTATATTGACTCAAGGAAATATGTTCACACTATGGCAAAATACAGTTCACTGTAGCAGAACTCTCTGTGGGAGAATGTTGTACACTTTGGTCACAGTTACAATTTAATTTAGGGGTTTATCTGTCTGCAGTGAGATTATGGGAAAGAAGCATAGGTATAGGAAGAAAATGGTGATGAGGGATTCTGATATCTGAAAATGGATGAGTTTCCGAAAAGAAGAGCATAAAACTCTCCGGATCAAATTCAGATAGAAAGCTGGCAGGTTGCCTGACTTGTAATTGCATCTTGAATTGAGCTGTAATCCTCACCACTTCTGAGAACAATAAGAATAAGAAAATGATAAACCACATTTGTTTTCAATGGCAATGTTTGTTCAGCATTCCTAACAAAATATTTCCCTGACACTTTGGTTAAGGCGGGCAAGTCACAAAATTAATGATATGTATTGTGTAAAGGAGGGAAAATAAAATAATGTATTTTCTAGAAAGGAAAAGAAAACAGTATTTTGTGGAGGGTTGGAAGGAAATCCTGTATTTTGTGAAAAAAAAAGAAAATTATTTATTAGATTTTATATAAAGTAGAAACTCATATACTTTTTTTTTTTAACAAAACAACCTTTTAGGTTTACAACCTATGAATATATGCTCTTCGTACACAACAGTGTGGGTTTTACACCGAGCCAAGAAGTGACCGTGACGACGTTAGCTGGTCTTCCAGAGAGAGGAACCAATCTCACTGTGAGTGTTCTTAACCACACAGCCATCGACGTGAGGTGGGCTAAACCAAGTAAGTAAGCTTCTCATACCTGTGTTTACACGTTGTGTAGTTTTAAAAGCATAGTCTTTACTATGACCCTCCCCATGTACACATCATTTTGGTAGGTAAGAGTTACTGGTACATTATTACCAATCACAGATTGGCAAGACTAAGTCATTGAAAACTTTGGAAGGGCCATTTTTATTAGCACCCAAATAAATTAAAAATGGACACATTAAAACTCTGAGGTCCCTGTGCCCTTCTTGAGAGGCAAACTCTCTCCTACTTTGACATTCTTTTTGGACCTCCTGCTCTCCCCTCTGTCATTCCCTGTGCATGAACAATGTAATTTCTGTCACACCAGGCAATTGTGATAGACATGTCCATGTGTTAATTGGATACAGTGTACTATTGTTCACCTTCCTTCAGAGAGCTCTGCCCTAATATCTTATAACTCATCACTCATTAGCAATAACCATTTAATCGGATTGCAATAATGGAACAGATTCTTCCCAGTGAATCATCTTCAAACTGGCTATGGACAGAGTTCCAGCTTGATCCAGTGAAAGGAAGCCTAGACATCACCACTGGATCCACTTGTTATTAAAACAATGCAGGGTCTGACCCTGGACCTGCTTGGAACACTTTTATAATAGGCATTTGGAAGAGTTCACAGAGTGATCTAATCTGTTCCTGCAACTTTAGAAACCACAATAACTGAAAAATCACAGTTACCTGATTAGTAGGGTAGTATTAACATGTTAATTTGTTGTGCTCTGTTAATTTGTGATGATCCATTATGACAATCAGAAAAGAACAACCCTGAATCTACCATGAGAATATGTATTAATATAATTCTTATAGGTATAACTTGAGATCTGGCAAATAGTTTAATCAAAACATGTTAGAATAATACCAAAAATTGAGAAATATCTGATTAGGAAAGGCCCAGTACTGCTCACTGGGGTAATTAATTATCTATTGATTATATAAAAAGATGAAAAGTCACTACTGGTTGGACAATGTAACCATGTGATTTTGATCCAACCTTGAGATTGATTACAGCTTAAGAAGAGAAATACTTCATTTAAGATACCTGAGTGATACCAGTTGTGCTTACAGCCAGAACTGAGTATATCAATTATAAATTAAATCGGCAGGTTAGGTTGATCTGTGTTTCCACAAAAGAATCCATTCTTACAAATAAAAACGTCATTCTTGGGTTTTTATAAGGTTGCAGGTTTCTAATGATCTGTGACACTTGTATTGGGATCTCTTAAACCATTTTAATGGAGTAATACAAGTTAACTGATGCTTATGGTTACCCTCTGAAACACCTCTGGGAAACATACAAAGTTTTTATCTGGGGATATGTTTTTACATATATTTCCATTCAACTCCCTCTTGCTCTCTACTCCACCTCACCAACTGATTCATCTTAAAAGCCTACTGATAAAGGTAGGCTCTCACCGCTCATCTGACATTTGAATACTTCTGTTAAGATCCGGCTGGTGAATTTTCACCAATATAGGTCCTTTATGTTATAATTGCATTCCTGAAGTAAGCATGCTTATAAAAACTGACAAACCTAATAGATCTGAAGCAGCTCACTGAAGTTTCATTAACTTGGTATTCTGAACCTCTGACCTTCGGGATGTAGGTAATGCAATCTGCTGTTATTTCCATTCATACCTTGGAAATTTTTCAGATAACAGTTTGTGAGCACAAAGGTTAACTCTCAGAAGAGGGTCAGTCTTGCAAAAGCTTGTTGCATTATCATTTTCTTCTTTTGTGCAAGCTGCTATCTTAAGTAAATTAACTAGTCAATCCTCTGTGAAAGGTCACCTATTTTTTTTTACAATTTTAATTTTAAATTGTTGTCTTGATTGGGTAGGAAAAACATGGCATTCAGTCTAATATTCTCAAAGGCAAAAAAAACCTGTAGATTGGAAATACTTTGCAGTGGAAAATCATGTTTTAAATTTATAAATATTTGCTTATTAAAAATTGCCTTCCAAAAGAAAATTTTTTTTTAAGCATGATTTTTCTCTATTATGACCCTCCCCATGTACACACCATTTTGGTAGCAAAATGTTTCCAGTAAATTTTTATCAATTACAGATTGACATGGATAAGTTATTAAAAACTTTTGAAGGGGCACTTTTAAACATTAACATCACATACATGATATGTGAGATAAAGGCATCCCTGTGTTACTTCAGTTCATTTTTGAAGGGCAGATGCTGCAAACTGACAACACAGAGGCCATATTTCCTTCCTTCTCCAGCTTCCATACGCTGCTTTGCCTGCAATATCAGAAATAATAATATTTGCAAACATTTAGTAATTATACATAAAGATGATTTGGAGATTCACTTGACAAATCAAATGATGGGGTCAAACAATACCCACATTTCTGGAAGGAAACTATCAGCTGGAACTGACTGCCCCTTTAAACAGATCATGCCCTAAAAATCTGACCCAGTCCTCATCTTCCTGGTGTCCCTAGACATAGGAGGTGTTTATCCCTGCTTTATATGATGATAAAAAGTGTATTGCCCTAAATAAAATACACCAATGTTAAATTATATTGTAATTTTGAAAAATCACTTTTTTATAGGAAGAAAAACACCTCACTTAAATTTATTTTATACAATCCTCAGAAAAGCACGATGAGATAGAAACTGACCTTTAGTATCTTACCAAAAATTACAGAAAGTAAGTACCACCTCCCAAACTCAAACTTAGGACTCAGGCATCAAATTTTGTATTTCTCACGCATTTAGCCCTAATGGTCATTAGCACTATAACAAGAAGGATTTAATAGGATCCTTATCATTTGACTGCTCAGTCTAATATAAAAGACAAAATGAGAAAACTCCCACAAAAGGGAGTACAGTGGAGAGGTAGTGCCTCCTCTGAAGGTGACTCCCTAAATAAGTCAGTGGTGGCCAGAAAAGAGCAATAAAAGAGGGAGTGAGTGGGCAATGCTTTGAAAAAGAGGAAATGAAAAATCATCCAAATATTGTCCACTTTACTGTTCATCCAGAGCTCACCCCAACCTTCAGATGCTCATATCATGTATCATATAATCCTGCTGCTCTTGCTCTTTCCCTCCTCTTTTTTCCATCTTCTCTCTTTCTCTGTTTTTTATTTTTTATTTTTTTGTAGAGACAGGTTCTCCCTATGTTGCTTAGACTAGTCTCGAACTAATGGGCTCAAGTGATCTCCCTCCTTGGCCTCCCAAAATACTGGAATTACAGCCATGCACAACCATCCAAGGCCATTTGTCTATTTCTCTTCCTCTACCTTCCTCTCTCTTTCTTTTTTCCTTCCTTCCTTACAGATATATTTACTTATTACTTTCTCTGTTCTGAGCACTGGAGTACAAAGATTATGACTTGATTCCTGCACTATAATATCTCAGTGATCTCTCTGGAAAATTCACAAAATATGAAGGTATCACCATTAACAGAGCAAATTTAAAACCACAGAAAAAGCATTTATCTCATCCTGATCTCTTAATCAGAAACTACCAGGTTTGATAGCTGGAAGAATATCTGACTTTGCTTGAATTTATCCGATTATGATGGCAATATCTGGAGATAATTCCAAATCTCATCTCTTCTAAAAAGCACCTACCATTGTTGCTTCACTTTGTTCCTCTGTTCCCTTTTCCATGTCTCTAATTATCAAATAGAAGAGACCACATCTGCCTTTTCCATTGTCTTCCTTCTCAGTCTTTGTGCACTGTTGTAGTCTGTCCCTCTTTTCTTGTACTCTATGTGGTTTTCTTGAAGTCATTAATTATCACCTAATGACCCGTTTCAAAACTCTCTTCTCAAAGCCGTCCTACTGTGTTCCTCCATTATCCAGCATTGTGAATGATTCCTTACTGACTAAATCTCCCCCAAGAATCATTACTCTCCTCTTCTTACCAACTACTTCTCATCCCTTAAATAAAGACGTTTCTCAAAGTTCCTTCCTGAGTCTTCCTGTCATAGTCCTATTCTCCTGTTGGTGATTCCATCTATACTCAAGGTTTCAAATTCTTCTAATTACAAAAATGACAATGGCCAACAGTGTATACAGCCATATGAATAAATAATTTTTAAAATAGGCTTTAGGATCAGGAATACTTCAATTTGAATCCCAGCACCAATATGTTTTGGCACTATGACCTAAAACATCACCTGTGTTCCAGTTTTCTAATCTGAAATATGAAGATCATAAGAATAACTGCCCTAAAATGTATTAGGAACAAAATAAAATAATATATGTTTAACAATAAGTAATCATTTAGTATTTGTATGAAGTATTATTCTATTTCTAAAATGTGCATGGTCCTTTCAATAACATTTTATAAAACATATTTAGAACTGAAGCTATGTCTAGTAAAAGGTTGGAAGTTGATTTTGCAAGGCTATTCAGATAAAAGCATTTCTACAGTGAGTTGAAGATGTATAAAGAACATATATTATTTTATAATTAACTGATTGGCTAAAATTAGAAATTTTTAAAATCTAGTTAAATTGGTGACAACTATTAACTATTGCATGGCATCCATTGTCTCCTTTTTCTTTTAGTGATAGCCTTCTCCCGTATCTAATGACTGCATTTACTAACCTCTCTTGCAATTAGTCATGGCCAGGTGAAATACCAGTAGAGTGTGTTTGTGTCAATAGAAAGTGAAAGACAATGTACATTTTTTTGGGTGTTAGCCGGAAAACATTGTGTGTCTGCCTACTTCTTCTCTTTTAGTCCTTTCCCTGGACTGAAGTATGGACATGATCATGTTCTCAGTTTTAACTATGTAGTCATGTACAACACCCAGAGAGATCCAAAATCCACATAAGAGAAAGAACCTTGGTTCTTAAGCAACCACATGGAGCACAGTCTGTTTTGATCACTTTGAAGCTATTACATAAGATACAAATTAAGATGGATTTTATTTAAGCTATTGTATTTTGGGGATTTTAGGTTTTACCAGCTTAGCTAACTCATTCCCTGTTTGCCCATATCAATTTATT